AACAGTTAAAATGGATATAAAAAGCGTGTCTTCGATGTGAACACGTGACATTGCAGTTGGTTTCGTTTTTGCTTCAACCTTCAACTGCTTCAACTGCAAGCAATCTGGCCGATCTGGCCATGGCGCAAGCAGCGCAAGCGCAACGTCGATGTACGGTGGAAGCAAGAGCCGGTTGGCTTTCGTTCTCTTTGTTTGACCGGAGAAATTTCTGGCAGCCGCTATTGTTTTGGTTTGACGGGACGCGAGAAGCTTCGCATAGAGCTTCGCAGTTTGCGAGCACATAGTGAAGACGTGACCGGAGAAGTGCCCCTGTGATGTTCCCGGAAGACGGAAAGTACCATTCGTCGTGTGTGCTTTGAAAGCGAGGGGAGTCACAGGGTCCACGAGTGCGCAACCACAAGCCAAGGTTCACGACAGCGCTGCGTTCTTCGGCGATCTCGTTCTGTTTGGGGCAACACGGCGATGCGAGAAAGGGCCGAAAGGTTCGTGGTGTGTGGTGCGGTGCTTGTAGGTAGAAACCCGCACTAACGCGGAGCTCATATTGGTTGTTGTGGGGTTGCGTTTGACGGGTTTAGCCCCGTCGTCGTCAGCTGATCCGGTCCAGCTGGTCGGGGAGGACGCAGCGAGCGTTCTTAAAAGTAAATCTTCCTCCGTTCCGTTTCAAAATGTGGAAGATTCTCGACGCATACCGTGAGTAAAATGCTGCGGACGTTTTCAACAAAATTACGTCGTTTTAATTGAACAAGGGACTTCGGATAGTTTGCCTAAATCTGCCGTTTCTATGCTTCGTGTCGTTAGACTGCATTTGCACAGCGACGTGTTCGCACAGCGACGCACACCGCTCGAGTAGATGATTCGGTCCCGCAAACGACCGGTTATACAGAATTTCAGGGAAACTTAAGTCACCACCGATGTTTTCCTGTAAATCTCGTGTGACTCGTGTGAGTTTGTTGCGCTCATCATGCGGTGTGAATAAACTATACCATAGGGCAAGATTTTCTACCTGCCCACAGATGCATGAACTGAGACCAATTTTTTACGTAGAGAACATAGTGGTTTTTCTTTACATTGGGAAGAGGCCCGAATTTGTCTCTTTTCCCTCTGGCACTGCCCCAAGTTTCAAGTTGCAGTTTCAGTAGACATACCTACTAACAGGTACAAACTGCTCTAAAGCAGGTAAAAGACTGGGAAGTCAGGACGGTGCGGACACCGTGTTTTGCGCTTCTCGCAAGGTGACTGATGCTTTTGCGAGGTATGCGGAATATGCAAACGATTTTGTTATGCCCTTCGTTTACGTCTCCAGAAAAAAGAATAAGATTATTTACAAATTTAGGCGCAATCACAAGCCAAGATTTACGATAACAGTGCGTTCGCTTCGGTGGTCCGTGTAGTGGAATTATACGCTGCTTTCTGCAACACCGCGTCATGACGAAGAGCTGGTACGGTCACGGTCTGTGCTGGGCTAGCGGTTGACAGAAACCCGCATCGCCCGCATCGGCACCGAGTGCACTTGGGCTGTTGATGCTCGAGCCTTTCATACGCGGCTTGTCGCCAGCTGATCCTGCTGCTCGACGGTGAGGAAGCGGCGAGTGTGACCTCTGAAGTAAATGTAAATCCTCGTTCATCCAGTTATCCAGTGTCAAAGTGTGGAAGATGTCCAACGTGTACTGAGGGCGGGAACTACGAGCGTTTTGCCTTGCTTTTATAACCGAAACCAGAGCAGCGAGATAATTGCCTTGCGTACTCCAAAATGACGCAAGCAATAAGTTTCAACAGGTCGATTACGTCACCGCGGATGTAGGCGAGACTGTGTACTGTTTAAACGCTTGCAGTATCCACGAGTGCTACCAGAAAAACGACGTCAACAGAGAAGGAGCTCGCGATTTTAGCATAATGCAGTGCCACGGGCTCGTGAATTTTCAATGTGGCTATATAGAAATATAAAAAAAAAAACAAAAAAAAAACGCATCAGCGCCACATTAATGATCACGAATAACAGCGGTCACAAACTCCCAAGCCTCACCGCTTCGCTCGACACCAACACGACGTACGAGAACAATCTGCATCAAAACGCCCCAAAAGTGAAGGCGTCTGCTCCCGTACGCGTACTACAACTAGCGGAAGTGAAGTGTTGGGCGGATGTCCTTCACAATAATATATATAAAATGCCTTGCGCAAGTATAATTTCCATTGATTATTGAATACGTACTGATAAAATTCCAATCATTTGTTTTTCTATCTGATTCAAGCGAGTCGGACTGCTCATAACACTGGTCGAGCATGAAAATAACCAAAATTTGAACTTTTTCTTGGCTGGTTTAAGATTTATTGTTAGTACATCGTTGTTTTTCGCAAAGGACTAATTTTACAGATTTTGCTTCCATACTTTTTAAATGCAAACAGTTCTTACATACGGCTGTCCATTGTGCCGTGTTTTGTGTCTTCTTCTATAAATCGGTAACGATCAGCGACCAAAGAGCTCACCCGTGCATGTCAAGCATATATACGCCGCGGGGAGAGTTCGTTGTTAGTAGGAAGTGTCGGGCGTAGTGTCGGTGTTGTGTTTGTGTATGTGTCGCTGCTGTGTCCTACGTGGTGCTCGTGTTGTCTGTGATGTATGAGAGTAGCAGTCTACTCGTGAAGTTCCCAGCGTATTAACCGACTTCTGCTTTTTTTTCATTGGTTGCTAGAAATCGCACTAGGTGGCGCAAGTTACCGCCCGATTACAAGAGTTTGCTTGAGCTATTTATCCATGTAAGTTCAATATTCGTTTTTTTTTTTTTTTTTTTTTTTTTTTTTTGTCTAGCGGTTTTGTCGTAGCTGCCGACGCCACCGACCGCCGACGATGCACGTAGGTACCTTTGCACGTAGTTACGTCCGCCGCTCGGAGACTGTTTACTGTGCATAAAAGACATCGAACGAGAACGAACGCGTCCTGTATGCTTTCAGTTCGGCTGAAAGGCGCGGCTGGCTGGGCTCGTCCCTCGCCTGTTCTCGGCTGGTGGCTGCCATGTTTCATAAGGAACACGTTGAACCGTGCTTCTCGGAAGGCAAACACGGTGTAGCGTGTTAACTTTACACAGCACCTCATGTGTAGACGAAAAACACAGATGGCTCCGTGTAAAACGAACACGTTTCGACGTGTCCGCTATTCGCAACTCCAACGCCCTATAGGTGGCGGGGCGGTAGTTCCAAGATGGCGGAAGAGACGGGGATAGATTCTCCAGGATACCCGGTGCGCCTGCTCGCGCTGACGCTGTTCAGCGCGCTAAAAATTATTTACTAGTGTACAAATGCGAAGCGGTTAGCAAGAGATCACATTACAGGTGACGTAGATGCTGATGCTCGTTAGGAAAACGAGCATGCTATTATTTAAAAAGTTTCAGAAACCTCAAAGTGCAAAGCTTTGGGGTGAGCGATCGCATTTTAGGCTCCGGCCACGTTACTGTTTGTGGCAATATATTTTTGAGGGTGATGAAGATATGTTTGCGCTTTACCTGGCCATTAGTTCTCTAAAAAGAGAGTCGCGAACGGTGACCGTGAAGCTTCGGAAGAGCAGCGTTCACAGCATTTGTGTCTTCGCGTCACAGCCTCACAACTCGCTGCTGACTGTCTCGGTTTTAGTGTATTGCAACACGTAATCAAACTGCTCTATGATTATTGATAGAAAGTTTGTTACCGCAGGCTACCCTGCGGTGTAGCATTATAACCGCAAGCTCGCGCTGCGCTTTTGAAGCACAATTTTCAGTGCGCGCCAAGAGCGTTGCCGTACTAATCACTCTAAAAAAAAAATGTTGTAGTCCTTACACCCCTTGGCACATATACGACGCTCCAAAACTTCAGTTCGCCGTGCAGCCCACTGACGTCAAACTGACGGCCCCAACTTTTATTAAAGGCTCGATGACGGCGCATTTTAAGATATTAAACAGCTAAAGTACGCATCAAAGAGTACCGAAAAAAAAAAAAAGGATTTGCAGTAGGGCCAAGAAAAACCCGACTATTATTATTATTTTTTTTTTTTACAGTCCTTCACACTTATTCGGGTTATTTTAATAAGTTGCACAACTCGGCTATCAAGCCGCTCGTGAAAGTTGGTAGCGCCGGTTGAACGTCAGTGCGCTGTACGTCCAACTGAAGTTTAGGGGTTTCGTACGCTCTGCAAAAACTGCCTATGAACATAATCGGCGTGTTTAGGGTTTTTATTTATTGCTCTATCAAAACTAAAAATATTTTAATCTACCGTACATTTTTTGTGCCGTGTTACTTGCAACGCTGCGGTCCTTCTGGCCAAAACTGCGCGTTCTAAGCTCTCGTCACAAACGGCTGGCTAACACAGACCCGCTTAAAAAGCCTCGAGTCTTTCTTTATTTGCTTTGTAATCACTTAAAAACAAGTACGGGTATTCTGTCTTTTTGAAGTGCTTGGAATAAATGGTCACGTTTCTTGTAATGGTCTTAAAACGCGAAGCCATTCCCGATTTTTATTGCTCGACATACCGTTCCGCGACGAGTTTTTTCCTACTTATGGCAAAGAATAGACTTTCCGTAGACCGTACTATAGAGTTCTTCATTATTAGCGGGAGCGTTTTTCGTCACGTTGAGTGCAGATTGAGTTGGCGGCCAAGCACAAGACCAAAAATCCGCAGCGTATGCGATACACGAAAAGTGCCTAATGAGATTAGACATCCCGGTCCTTCGTGCAAGGCTGTTGCAAGGCGGAGCACAAGAATTCCTTTTTTAACGCGTTCACTTTTTTCGTTAAAGCGGCTTCACGCATCAAGCCCGACAGTCCCTGCCACCGTTTCCGCGCCGCCGCCGCCGTCGCCGTCCCCGTTCCTCTGGTTCTCCGTTCGTCCGCGGGAGGGCGAGCGGAGCGCTGGAGTTGCGAATGGGACAACGGTTTACACGTCTGGGCGTGTTATTTTTGCTAACAGTGTACTTTAGTCGCAGTGAAACGCGAGTGTGTGAGCCGTTCTCGAGAGGGGCGTTTGTGGAGCGCAGGTGCTGAGGGACGCCCTGCTGGAGAACCAGACGGCGGAGGCGTTCGAGGCGGTGTGCCGCCCCAAGGTGGCCGGCACCCTGCACCTGGATGCGGCGTCCCGGGAGCTGTGTCCCCAGCTGGACCACTTCGTAGCCTTTTCGTCGGTGTCGTGCGGTCGGGGCAACAGGGGCCAGACCAACTACGGCTACGCCAACTCGGTCATGGAGCGCGTCTGCGAGAAAAGGGTGGCCGACGGACTGCCCGGTGGGTGTCTCTTGCTCCGGTCCACGGGTTCTCGGACTTTGCAATCCTGAGGAACTTGGGTTCCGCGAATATTCCATTAGTGGTTTTAATTAAAACATGGTTTCAGATTCACCTCGAGGTGAACCGTAATATTCATACTTGTTGAAATATTGATTGCGGCGACTCCTCTGGTATTGCTTCACCGCAGTGCACAGATGCTCCTTGAGAAGTGCACACAACGGGCCTAACCCGCCGCATTGAACGCTTCATCAACAAGTACAAATATCGCATTTCACTTCGAGGCGAATGTCGAATAGCCTGTCATTCGAAACTTCTGTTAGGAAATTTGAACATTCGCACAACAGTACTTGAATGACAGCTGACAAACTCCTCCTAAACTCGGGACTGATGCCATAAAGTGATTGAGTAGCCTACAAATAATAACGTAAACAGTAACATATAAACAGTAGGGACTGTCTGGCTGATAGGTTTGCATCATTGGATGATTTAAATTTTCCGTAGTGATTACCGGCTGAAGTTTAGCTAGTTGGTACATAATTTAGGTAAATGGACAGCTAGAACGATAGGGACAAAACACAGACAGGGAGAAACTTTGGGTCCGTCGCGGTGTGTATGTCTCTGTTTCCCCCTGTCTGTGTTCTGTCCCTATCGTTCTAGCAGACCATTTACCTAAATAGTGATTATATTTGTGCAAAACTGTGGCTTAGGGGCAGGAGGAATCAAGGAAATGGTTTGGGAAACTAGGGTTGTGTTACGGGTTTTAGTTGAGCTAGTTGGTACATACTGTTGGCAATCAGGTCAGCTGAACACGGGAAAAACAAGAACACGAAAGAAAGGACTGGACATTCACACCACTGACTAACAACTGACTTTATTTTTTCCTTGTCCCAGCCTAGGCCTTTTCTTCTTTGTCCTACGGCTTAATTAACGCGTTTAAAAACAACCCTTTATCCTACTACTCAACGGGGTGTGCCGAACCGCAAATATTGGCGTTCTTTTTCGTGAACTCTAATCGACGAGGTGCTCACGCAATCTTCTCCTTTTTCTGCAATGGCCAAGGCCTCCAGCACTTCACGCTCGAAGGAGTTCTTGTTTCTATGAAGGACGGTTATGTTGGTGAGCTCTGCGTCACATCCACAGGTCCGGCAATGCGCTGACAAGTGTCCCGCTGATGTATTTTTGACCAACGCTGCGTGCTCTCTTGCTCTATCATTTATACATCGGCCAGTTTGGCAGATGTAGATCTTTCCGCAAGAGAGGGGAGTCCGATAGACGACCCCGGTTTCGTATTGGGCATACCGTGTTCTATGGGCTGTGTCACATATCGGCTGTTGATCACGTCCCTTGTTGACCCTGCGGAAAATGGCGTACGCCTTGTTCGGTGCCGAACAAACAACCTTAATCTCTTGCCTGCCAGCGATCTTTTTTAGTCCGTGGGTCACTCTATGGATGTAGGGCACAGCCGCGGTTTTGCATCGCGTTGATGGATTCGCCGCTTTCTCGCCGCTTGCTGCTCTGCTTGAGTTTCTTGGAGAGGCTCTCACAGACGCTACCTAACAGAGCGCTTGTGTAACCCGAAGCGCGTAGTCGAGCGATCTGTTTTTTAAAGCTTGTCTCACCTTCATGATGGCAGGACTTGCTTAGCGCAGAGAAAAAATCAGTACTGGCTACACTTGTTTTGATGGTCTTCGAATGGCGTGACTCGTAGAGAAGAAACTCCTTGCACGAGCGGGGTTCATAGCGCCAACAGTTTTGAACTCCAAAAGAAGGTCCAGGGACTTGATTGACTTCTCCAGTGGTAGTTCGTAATTAAGCACTCATTCCGGGCGACTTTTTTGGAAACAGATCAAAACCTTTTCTTTACATCCGTTCCCCGGATCTTCCACCTCAGTGTTGCATAGCACCAAATAATCATCAACATATCTAAAGATGAGTTTTACTCGCGCGTAATTCAGGTTCTCTTGAATGTTCCTGCCGGATGCTGCAAGGAACACATTGCAAAGATAAGGAGCGATCCGAGAGCCAATACACACGCCGCTTTTTTGTACGGAGTGTTGCCCTTGATGGGCCACCACTGTCGCTGCCAAGTGCAGACTGAGTAGTTCCAGGAAGGTGTCCACGGTGATTCCAGCCAAGTTTTGGAATGTTGTCGTTCCTTGCTCATCAATGGCTGCTCGAAGCATCAACAAAAGGCCTCTGTGTGGTATTGAGTAATACATATCCTAGATGTCGACTGACAGAGCAGAGACGACACCACATCAGTGCTCTTCTAGATAACCAATAAATTGTTCTGAACTTCGTATCCTGTAAGGATCTTTGCGCTCAACCAGGGACAGCTTTTTATCCAGGACGGACGACAAGTGGGTTTGACATGTTTCCCTTTCCGATGCAATGGCCCTAAAAGGTGCGCCATCCTTGTACGTCTTCCCCTAGAAAAACACCTCAAGGTGCCCCATGTTCGTCTTTTTGATTTTTGTACAAAGACTTTGCACTTGTCCGCACCATCGCATACAAAGCTCATGATGAAAAGGCATCACAAATAATCAGTGAAGGAATGAACTGCATAGCAGGCCAAAGAAGCCAAAGGAGTCCAATATCTCTAGGTATTAATTTTGGCTCCGCGGTAAATGAGCTTCGAAGCAAAGATCTCAAGCTCTGCGTGTCAGACAAAGAGGGTGGTTTTGTTGTTCTAGATTTTGGGAGCTATAGAGACAAGGCTGCCGCAGTCATGGCCAAAGACTTCATTAATGTCGAAGAAAAACAAAGCAAGGGATCTAAACAGGGCAATGTGCAGCTACTTGAGAGAGACCACCTGAGCAGTCTTTGTACAAAAATCAAAAAGACGAAGACGGGACACTATGAGGTGTTTTTCTCAGTGAAGACGCACAAAGATGGCGCACCTTTTAGGGCCATAGTATTGGAAATGGTAACAAGGCAAGCCCACGCGTCGTCCTTGCTGGCGAAATAGGTGTCCCGGGTTCAGTGCAACGATCCTTACAGGATACAAAGTTCAGAACAACTTATTGGTTATCTAGAACAACATGGATCTGGTGTCGTCTCTGCCCTGTCAGTCGACATCCAGGATATGTATAACTCAATACCACGTAAAGGCCTTTTGTTGATTCTTTGAGCAGCCATTGAAGAGCAAGAAACAACAACACTCCAAAACTCGGCTGGAGTCACCATGGAAACCTTCCTGGAACTACTCAGTGTGTACTTGGCAGCGGCAGTGGTAGCCCATCAAGGGCAATACTTCGTACAAAAAAGCGGCGTGTGTATTTCCTCTCGGGTCGCTCCTTATCTTTGCATTGTGTTCCTTGCAGCATCCGGCAGGAACATTCAAGAAAACCTGAATGACGCGCGAGTAAAACCCATCTTTAAGTATGTTAATGATTATTTGGTGCTATGCAACACTGAGGTGGAAGATCCGGGGAACTGATGCAAAGAAAAGGTTCTGACCTTCTTTCCAAAAAAGTTGCCCGGAATCGGTGCTTACTTGCGAACTACCACAGGAGAAGTCAATCAAGTTCCTGGACCTTCTTTGGAGTTCAAAGCAAGCCAGGTCTGTTGGCGCTACGAATCCCGCTCGTGCAAGGGGTTTCTTCCCTTCGAGTCAGGCCATTCGAAGATCATCAAAAAAAGTGTAGTCAGTACTGCTCTTTTCTCTGCGCTAAACAAGCCCTGCCATCATCAAGGCAAAAAAAAAAGCTTTAAGAAACAGATCCCTCGACTACGCGATTTGAGTTACCCGAGCGCTCTGTTAGGTAGTGCATGTGAGAGCCTCTTTAAGAAACTCAAGCAGAGAGCAGCAAGCGGCGAGAAAGAGGCGAATCCACCAACGCGATGCGAAATCGCGGTTGTGCCCTACATCCATGGAGTGACCCACAGACTAAAAAAGATCGCAGGCAGGCAAGGCATTCAGGTTGTTTGTTCGGCACCGAACAAAGCGTACGCCGCGTGCTGCAGAGTCAACAAGGGACGTGATCAACAGCCAATATGTGACACAGCTTATAGAACACTGTGTGGCCAATGCGAAACCGGGGTCGTCCATCGTATTCCCCTCTCTTGAAGGAAGAGCTATATCGGCCAAACTGGCCGATGTTAAACGATAGAGCAAGAGAGCACGCAGCGTCGGTGAAGACTACATCAGCGGGATACTTGTCAGCGTATTGCCGGACCTGTGAATGTGACGCAGAGCTCACCAGCATAACCCTCCTTCATAGAAATAAGAACACCTTCGCCCTTCGTGGAGTGCTGGAGGCCTTGGTCATTGAAGAAAAATAAGAAGATTGCGTGAGCACCTCGTCGATTCGAGTTCACGAAAGAAAACACCAATATTTGCGGTTTGCCACACCCCGTTGAGTGTTAGGCTAAAGGGTTGTTTTTAAACGTGTTTAATGAGCCGTAGAACGAAGAAGAAAAGGCCTAGGCTGGGATGAGGAAAAAATAAAAGTCAGTTGTTAGTCAGCGGTGTGAATGTCTAGTCATTTCCTTCGTGTTCTTGTTTTTGTTTTTAGAGCGCAGCTCTTAGGGGCCCGTTTCCAGCCTGAGCGGCGTCGGCGTCGACGCAACCGGGGGGGGGTCACTTGATCCCCGAGGTCACGTAACCCCCCCCCCCCCCCCGAGGTCACGCGACCCCCCCCCCCCCCCCCCCGAGGTCACGTGACCACCCCCCCCGAAGTCACGTGACCGCTCCGAGGTCGCGTGACCCCCTCCCCCCGAGATCACGTGACCCCCCCCCCCCGGGGTCACGTGACTACCCGCAGGTGACGTGACCCCCCTCAGTACCCTTCCCTACTCCTCCTCAAGAGCTGCGCTCCAATTCGGCGTTGCAGGGATTTGTAAACGGCTTTCATTTTTTTTTTCGTTTCCAGCTGACCTGATTGCCAAAAATAGGGTTGTGTGAATATTTTTTTTGAGAGGCTTCATTTAAAATGCCTTTGGGGAGCCCCTGAGTTCCTATGAACCAATAGGCTCTGGCACATGGTGTAAGATACTCTTCTCTGCATATATGGGAGATAACATGTTATGTTTGCAATCTTCTCAAAATTGCAGCTAGTTTAACCGTCTCATTTTTTTAAATTTTCGCGCACTCTGCCCCAAAAAGTGACCCATGTCGCTCGTCACAACGATGGCCAGAACTGCCGGAATCGCAGAAAACGTGTGTTTCCTGGCACGAAGCATTATGTTAATGTCGTTTGTAAATTTCATAGTGCTACACTTGTTCAGAGATATCTCAGTGACAAAAGTGCCAGCCACGGTGTAAAACACTACTTCCGCCGGGCTGCGTGAGAACACACTGCACGGCGAATGATTTGACGTGATCGACTGCATAGAGTCCTGTTGCCGTGTGCCCAAATAGCCAATATCAAGAGCGTCACCGTTGGGCGAACGGCGCAACTGAGTAAAAGAAAGTGTTGTGTTGCCATAGCACCCGGGTGCAAGCACTTTCTGCTTGGTGCATCTGCTCTGATCTCAAAAAACACTGGCTCAAACGTTGCGTCAAAAATCTCTGCACTTTAATGCGTTGCTCTGCCAACCGCTAATCGAGGCACAAAACTGGGGTCAATAGAGATATTTAGAATGATGTACAGAAATATAGGGCACACTTGTCCTAAATGTATCACTTTTTGCGTCCACACGTGTGACCTCTATATCTGGCCCCCTGGTCCCGGCAAACCTTGAACGATTCTTGTACATACCTGAAACGCAAGATGCGCGAAGCTCGAAATCTCTGTCGATAGAGAGGAATATTCTAGTGCGCTGAAGAAGAAACTCGCGCAAACTGGATGCGAGGCGGGACAGCCCCTGTTGACTTCCCTCGTCCCCCCAGGCCTGGCCATCCAGTGGGGCGCCATCGGCGACGTGGGCGTCCTGCGGGAGACGATGGGTGCGGACGTGGGGGTGGGCGGCACGGTGCCCCAGCACATTGGCTCGTGCCTGAAGGTGCTGGACCGCTTCCTGCGTCAGGGCCACCCTGTAGTCTCGAGCCTCATCAAGGCCGACTTCTCCGGGGCCACGACCAAGGACAAGCACGACCTCGTCCAGTCCGTGGCACACATCTTCGGTAAGTCCTCCCCCTCGTGCTCATCGTGGGAGGTACCGAGACTGGTTCTCGCAATTGCGCCTACAGAAAGGAGCGGTGTAACAATGTTTCTACTCTGAAAAAATGTCATTTAGAATTAATAGCTTACGGTTACGACATATGAAACAAGCGTTCGCTTTTAATGCGGAAGCATTATATGCCCTATTACGTTAAAAGGTGGCGGAGGCGTTGTGCCCGAAATATGCCCATAAAATACGTCATCAAGCACGTGCCGCTCCAGGTCGAAGCGGACGCACCTCAGAAATAAAACATACCAAAAAAAAGAAGAGACGTTTACAACTCCCTGTAATTCCGAATTAAAACGCAGCTCTTGAGGAGGACGGGCGGAGAGTACGGAGGAGACAGCATGCCCCTCCTCCTCATCCGTAGACTCTCCTCCTCCCTCCTCATCAACTCCTCCCGTGCTCCTCGCCTCCTCCCCCTCTTTCACCTCATCCTCTCCTCCTTCCTCGCCCTCCTCCCTCCTCTTCCTCCCACATCCTCCTCCTCCATTCTCCACCTCGCTCCTTCTCCTACTCCCCCTCCTCCTCCCTCCCGTACGATGCATTTTGGGAAATGTCATAGCCTCCTCTATACGGAGAAAGCTTGGCACATCGACGACGGAGCCATAGAGCGCGCGGCCGCAGGAAAAAGGAGAGGAGGAGCGCGCCGAACGGTGACCAATATGGTAGCGCAGAGCAGTAAGGGCAGACCTAGACAGCGAGCGCTTGGGTCATGAGCGGCCGCTCCCCGAACCACGCTTGTTCTTGTGTTTTCGTCACCGTCGTTTTTTTACTCCGGGAGAAACGGGCGCGGCGATTCGAAAGGGCGCAGGGAGAAACGGGAAAGGGTGGACGTTGAGTTTCTCCTCTCCGCGATAGCGACAAGAAAAGAGAAAAAAAAAAAAAAAAGATTGTTTCTGCGTTTGGCCGCTCGCTCTTTTGTGGCGCTAGCGGACAAGGTTCTCTCCGCTCCCGTTTCTCCGCCCCTCCTTTCCCATTTACGGCGGCCGTCTTTTCACGCGACGCGCCAGGCTTTCTCCGTATAGAGGAGGCTATGGAAATGTTCAATAATGTAACGCGCGCGTCACCGCGGTGCACTATGGGCGCGCTTCCCGTCACGTTTTTCGCTCTTTCGTCGTCTGGTCTTTGTTAGATACTTCCGTTTCGGCTCTCATCTTTCGGATATATCAGCATCAAAACCGCACTCGCTACCTACTTGGCAGGTGCCCAGGATGCCCTGGTGACCAGCGTGAATGTGGTTATCCTAGCCTGCTCGTTGACCTTGCGACGTTGCCGCGCTCTGAAGGGAAGGGGGCGCAGGTTTTGGGTCCGGCGGAGTTGGTTCTACCAAAACACCGAAGGACAGATAAGTGCTTTGCTCCCCCGGCGCCGCGCCAGAGCTGAGGGCTACTTTCGAAAGTGTCACCAAATCAACATGACATCCGTCAGCACACAGACGACATGAAACAAGTGCCACGGAGAAAGTCACTCGTAATTCCGAATTCCTCTCCTATAATTTCGCAGCGGTTGTTCTTCGCGTCATTATCTAGGTAGTCTGGCTGCGTCTTGTCATATAAAAAGGGAAACAGTCGCGCAGTTTCAAGGAACCGCTCCGTTGGGGAAGGCATCGGGGGAAAATATGGATAGCGGACGACACGGAACAAGGCTACGGTCTTCGGAACGCGAAACACGCGCGGAGCACCGGCTGGAGCGTTGCCATGGCATCGCAACGTCACCATCTACGCCACCTCCCATTGGCTGCTCTCTTCTGCGGCGTGGAGCGGCGAGCTATGTACCGCGCAAGGAGCGGTTGGCTCTGTGGCGCTGTACGTCGCGCCGCTGAAGCCCAAATCTGGTTTTGGTCGGCAGCCGGCCGCGCCGACAGTCGCGCCGCAGGCCTCCGCGACGCCAATATGGTCGTGCCTTAAGAGCTGCGCTCTAAAAAATGCAGAGCACCGCAGGTGCTTCGTCGGGGAAGCCATGAAGCTGGCGGGGTTAGCCGCGACTGCGCAGTGGGGGAGCGTGATGTCGAAACCAGTGCGCGGTTTGCAGAAGGAAGACATGGCGCCCTCCCTCGGGCGCCTCAGTTGCGCTTCGGACTTGATCCGGGTTCAATGTGTGCTTCGTGCGAAGGACCGTGATGCGACCGCGTCTACGGCCTCGACATCGGCAGAAGCATCTACATCTACGGGGGCTTACGCAAGCATGCCCTCCCCTCCTCCTTCTCAAGAGCATAGCTCTTGAGAAGGAGGAGCGGAGGGAACGGAGGGAAGGGTACGTCGCTCCTCTTCCTCCGTACCCTCCGCCTCCCCTCTTTCTTCCCTCCCTTCTCCTCCTCCTTCGCTCGTCCTCATCTTCCCTCCTTCTCCTTCCCTCCTCTACCCTCCTTCTCTCCTCCCACTCCCCTCCTCCTCCTCTTTTCCTAGTCTTTTGTACCTTTTCTTCCCTCTCCACCTCCTCCCCATACCTTCCCCTCCTTCTGCGTACCCTCCCATCTTTCTCCTCCGTACCCTAACCTTCTCTTCCTCCATACCCTGCACTCCTCCCACACTTTACCCGCTAAATTTAGCTGAAATATTAGGGAGTTTTCGTAGACCGCGTTGCCCCCTCCGCTAAGCTTTCCGCAACGAAGAAGTTGCTACTGCGCCTGCGCGCCGATAGCCTTGACTGTGGAGTTCCCGCTATCGTAGCGGGTTGCGGAGGGCCTTGCGGGACGGCGAAAACGATCTACGAAAACTCCCTATTAGGAAGGTTTAAGAGACCGTTTTCGCAGCCCGCTAAGCACCCGGATAGCGCTCCGTAATCTTCTACAAGACCTTGAACTGTGCACATGGCGCGCATGCGCAGCTGCGGCGTTTTCTTTACGGATACCGTAGCGGAGGAGAAAAACGATCCACTACAACTCCCTATTGACGCCACCCGACCTGAACGCGAATTCAGTTTCCCCGCTAAATTTAGTGGGAAAATACGTCACATGACTTGGTGTCACGTCACCTAGGCACAAACTCAGTTTCTCCGCTAGATTTAGCACGAAAATTGACGTTACGTGATATCAACAGCTATTCAATTCCTCGATAAATTTAGCGATAAATTGAATTGGTATTGAGGCCACGTAGCGTCAGTTTTCCTCCTAAAATTAGCGCGGTTACGCCGACACCGCGAGACACGGAAACGGGTGCCTGAGAGCAGCGCTCTAAAACAATTAGAAGAAACACGAGCAGCATGTTTTCTCTCAACTCGCAGCCAGAACAAGCGGCCACGTGATCTGGAACCGATTATATGCCGCCAATGTTTATCATAGACCGACGTTGTTAGGAGTTCGGCTAGTGTCCTCATTGCAGCGATTGGATAATAATAATAATAATAATAATAATAATAATACATTTATTGCATGGAGCACAGCACTGTTTGCGTGACGGGCGCATCAAAGCCAAAACAAGGCTTGTGGGATGCTACCCTAAAATTAACACTTTAAACATTGCTGCCCGGTATACAAAAAGGAAATAAGACAGATTGACATACACGTCCTTAGAATGTCCCGAAGTCAAAGTCAGCAGTTGGGTGCATGCAACACACAGAATCACACCTCCAAATACTGATGCAAGTGCATAGATAAGGTTTAAAAGAACTTAATATAAAAAATAACCACTACCCGAATTCTCGTCGAGCTTTTGATTATCGTGAGCCCAAATCGAGCGCTCGTGCAATGATTGGGTTTAATCTACGAGCCGCGCTCAAATTTTGCCACTGGGGGACTATGACAGCACTGCGACCTCTAAACCACGTCATGACGTTTTGCCAACAGGATGAAAGAAAAAGCTCATTTTAGAGAGCAGCTCTTAGGCGCTCATTTCCGCGTTGAGCGGCTTCGCCGTCGCCGTCGGTGTCGGCGTAACCGCGCCCGTTGAGTCATTAGACGTCACAGACTCCCCTAAATTTAGCGGGGAAACTGAATGCGCAGTGTTGCATTATGGAACGTCGTAGACCTACACACCAATTCAGTTTCCCCGCTAAGTTTAGCGCGGAATTGGATTGGAGTTGAGGTCATTGGACGTCAATTTTCTCGCTAAATCGAACGGAGAAACTGAATTTGTTCATAGGAGACGTGACACGATGTCATGTGTTGTCTTTTTCCACGCTAAATTAAGCGGGGAAATAAAATTGGTGAGGTCCCGTGGCGTCAATTTTCCAGCTGAATTTAGCGGGGAAGCTGTGAGAGGAAGGTAGGGTAGGGAGGAGGAGATGATGGTATGCAGGAGGAGGAGGGGAGGGTACGGAGGGGGAGGAGTGGGCATGGAGGAGGAGAGGAGGGTATGGAAGAGGAAGAGGGGAGGGTATGGAGGAGGTGGAGGGAAGAGTATGGGGAATGAGAGGACAGTATGAATGAGGAGGGGAGGGTACGGAAGAGGAGGAGGGGGATACAGGAAGGAGAGTCCTAATGAGGAAGAGGACACGGAAGACGAGGAGGGTACAGAACCTGTATGTGAGGAGAGTGATCTATATCTGTATATATAGGTACGTATATTTCTTTCTCAAATTGTTTAGCACAGTATATTGCCGAAGGCAAAATACCTCAAGAGCTGCGCTATAATTTCGCATTACAGATATTTAAAAACGTCTTTCGTTTTTTATTCTCGAAATTACACCCTAAAAAAGAGGTTTCTTGGTCAACGGTGTTGCGCGCGATCACATACTTGAGTATTTTTAGTGCAAGTAAGCTCGTGTAAAGTGAAACACATTCCAATCGAATATCATTGCATGGCCCCCTTGCGACCGACTGCATTACCACCTGTCGCGTTATCTTACGAGAGAATGCACTGCCACACTGGTGCCGTCAATAGGGGTCCCTGGAACTGCATTTCACCGGAGCGAAGGTTTTCCGCTATTTGAAATGAAATGTACATACAATCCATAAGAACTGCTAGTTTATCTCATTGTCGAAAATTTGTCGAGCCAGGAAAGAAAGAATGATGCGTGAAAAGGAAGCTCTTCACTTGTTCGTAATCAGTTCCAAGTGCGTGAACCAGCCAAGCGTCGAGGCTTTGCAGTGGGGCTTCGGGAACACGTTCCGCCGGGTGGCTCGCGGGGTTGTCATGGCGGCGAACTGAGGTGGCGCTCCCTGGCTGCAGGTGTAAAGGACCCCTTGAGCCTGAACCCTTCCCTGACCCTGGGGGAGCTGGGAATGGACTCCCTGATGGGCGTCGAGGTGATGCAGACCATCGAGAGGGACTACGGCCTCAGCCTGTCCATGCAGGAGATTCGGGAGCTCAGCATCGGTCGACTCAAGGAGATCGGCGGAGGGGCCGTGGCCGGAGGATCCGTCGCGCCCCGGGGTGCACGCGGGCCTTCCTCTCTTTCGCGGCAGGCGGAGGCGTTTAGGGCGGCGAGACGGCCCGCTCGGCGGAAGCGGAGGGACGTCCGATTAGAGGGGCACTCCGGAAATTTTAACGCGGAATGTGTTTAAAGGCTGCGATCACTGAAGAAAGTGCGACGGAACGCCACAGAAACCGTTGCGAAACGTGTTACACATACCTCGAAGGACGATCTTTACGGACTAACATATTGTGAAGGGTTGGGACCAAAAGAACAATAAATAAACAGGAAGGAATAAACGTTTAATCAAGCGAACTTATGCCCGAAACAAAATAGAAACTGAAGATAACAACGGAGGGTACCGGGTGTCAAAGTCGGCGTAGCAGCAAGATCGACCACTGGCGAAAAACTGACTGCGGCTCGCAAATCGCAGCCCCTTAAGTACACGCGAAAGCTTCAGGAACAATCAGCGTAGAAGGTTCTGTGCGTAGAACATTCGTACCTCGAATAAAGAACAATGTTCTCAAATTCACTAGTCCGCGACATTTCAAAAATAAAAAAGGCGCATCAGCTCAGAGGCTTCGAACCTCGAGCCATTTGCGTACGAGCTAAGGACGATAACCATTCGGCCACGGGTGCGCTTGGTCAAAGATGCGCGTGACATTACTCCCCCTTTAAAAAAAAAGCATCGTCTCAATGTAGTGTAGTACAAGGCCACAAAACGGAGCAAAACAAACAAAAGAATGACAAAATACGGAGGATGGTAAAACAGTCCTATCAAGCCTAGCACGGGATCAGAGTCCACAGTTTTATCGTGCGCAGTGCGGCTTGAGGCACACGACGTGCACAATTTCAGGTCGTGATGGGCAACGTCATAACGTTCTTGTCCCGTCGGGCACCACCTCGTAGTTCAGGTCTTTGAACCAACAAAGCTCCTTGGAGGGTCAGAAGAGCGCTTCAGGAGTTTCTCGCTTAGTCCGCGTCGTCGTATCGGGGTACAGACCCACACACGGTCTCCGGGTTTGAGGCGAACGTCGATCCGACGAAGGTTGTACCGGCTAGCGTCGACACGTTGTTGATCATGAATCCGGAGTCGGGGGAGCTGGCGAACTCCTTCGGCGCGTTGAGCAATCAACTAGGCGTCGTGGCTTCCATCGGCCTGCGGTTCGTGGGGCAGCATCGCGTCGAGCATGGTCGTTACTTTTCGGCCATGCACCAAGTAAAACGGTGCTACTTCTGTGGTTTTTTGCACGGCAGTGTTGCAAGCCAATGTTACATAGGGTAACACCTCGTCACACGTCTTGTGCTCTACGTTGACATACATGGAGATCACGTCTCGGATAGTTTTGTTTAGCCGTTCAGTTGATTAATTTGTGAGCGGATGATATGCAGCTGTTCAACGGTGGCTGGTGCAATTGGGACGAAGGATCTCTTGCGTCAGCTGAGCCATAAACGATGATCCCCGGTCTCTGATAAGGACTTCAGGGGCGCCGTGCCAGAGGACGATGGACTCGATGGAAAACTTGGCGACTTCAACAGCCGTACCTGATGAAAGAACTTTTTCCTCGGTGTACCGTGTGAGATAATCGATCGCCATGATTACCCATTGGTTTCCTTGCGTCGATGGTGGGAATGGTCCAAATAAATCATTTTCGATCTGCTGTAATGGGGCAGATGGTGGCGCAATAGCCTAAAGAAGTCCTGCCGGTCTGGTAGGTGGTCTCGTCCGTCATTGACACTCGTGGCAAAATCGGGTGTAGCGATGGACTGTTTTCGCAAGCCTCGGCAAGTGGTACTTCTCGCGTATCCTGACAGAGTCCTGTTGTAGCCAAGGTGTCCCGCCGTCGGATCATATTGGCTGGCTTTAAATATTTATGCTCGAATAATAGCCACCACCTATTGTTTTTACTGAAGTTTTTTGTTGTACAGCGCGCCTTCTCGGATGAAGAATGTTGGCAGTGTTCGAATGAAAACGTGGAGAACAGTGCTTTCTTTTCCCTCTAGGTTCTCGATGAGGCCTCGCAGTTCAGGATCATCTCTTTGGAGTGCTGCCATGTCACTGACATCTACTGCGCCGAGGAAACACTCGTCGTCGTTGTCCTCCATGCAGGGAAGACCAGCCTCGATCGATCCTCAACAAACAATCGACATCAGTGTGCCTTCGGCCGAACTTGTACACCACGGTCATGTTATACTCCTGCAGTCGTACACTCCACCGGGCGAGGCGTCTTGAGGGGTCGTTTAGATTCGCGAGCGAGCAGAGCGAGTGGTGGTCCGTAACCACCCGGAACGGACTTTCGCACAACTGCGGGCAAAACTTGGTGATGGCCCGGACGACGGAGAGGCATTCTTTCTCCGTCGTAGAGCAATTACCCTCCGCCTTGGACAGCGTCCGGCTAGCATAGGCAATTGCCCACTTTGTTCCCTTCAGTATTTGGAGCAGCTGCGCGCCAAGCCCCGTGCTACTTGCGCCCGTGTGAATTTCTGTTTGTGCATGCTAGTCGAAATAGCCAAAGACGGGAGGTGTTTTATGTCTTCGTTTAAGCTCGTCGAACGCTCTCTGGTGTTCTTTTGTTCACTGAAACTTGACAGTGTCTTTTTTAAGGTATGTCGCTGGCACAATACGTTTCTCGAAATCTCGATCGAAACGCCTGTAGTAGGCACAAAGGCCTAGGAATCTTCTTACGACCTTTTTGGGGTCAGGAAAATGTGGGTACGGCGCGCATCTTCTCGGGGTCAGGACGGAGACCCTCGCTGCTGCCGACGGGGCCTAGATACTTGAGCTCACCATAAGCGAACCAACATCTCGTTGGCTTGAGTTAGTTCAGTGGCATTGATGGCTTGAGGTACGGCACGGAGTCGTCGAAAGTGCTCGTCGAAGTTGCCGGAAAACACTACAACGTCGTCGAGGTATACAAGACAGCTCTGCCATTTCGAGCCTCCTAGCACGGTGTTTATGAAACGCTGAAGTCTCCGGCGCTGTACATAGCCCGAAGGACATCACTTTAAATTAGTGCAGTCTGTGCGACGTAACGAAAGCAGTTTTCTCCCGGTCCTGTTCGTCAACTTCAATCTGCCAGTAGCCACCCTTCAAGTCCATCGAAAAAAAGTATCATGAGCGACGAAGACTGTCTAGAGTATCGTCGATGCGGTGCAGCGGGTACACGTCTTTTTTGTCACAGCATTGAGTCGAGGATAGTTAACACAGGACCTCAGGGTTCCATCCCTCTTCACGAACACAACAGGTGAAGCCCGTGGAGTGCTTGACGGCTGGATTATGTCATCGTCAAGCATTTCCCGAACCTGTTTTTGGATGACTTCCTGTTCTTTCAAAAATACGCGGTACGGTGACTGCTAGAATGCGTGCACGTCGTCGTCGGTGCAAATGCGATGTTTCGCCACTGGTGTTTGGTGAAATTTCGACGACGTGGCAAAACAGTCACTGTGTTCAGCGAGGAAATCAACCAGCTGCCGGCGCTTTAGAGCTGTGAGCTTGGCGTTCGATGTCGAGATGCGTCGGCGACGTGCTCTTGTGCTGTGACGACGAGGTTTTCTCAGAGATTGCGGTGACCACGGCTGGCGCTTGCAGCCACTCGACGTGGTCCACAATACTACCCTTCGTTAGGTGCTGCAGCCAGTGGCGTCACTGCCCGGGTGCCGCTGACCCTAGTGACGCCCCCCCCCCCCTCCCCCCCCCCCCCCCCCATCTCACTGAGCCTAGCGAGATGGGGGGGGGGGGGGGGGGGGCTGCCGAGACACCCTTTTCCACATCTCGCTCTCGTGGTCCGCCGCGGCACACCCCTGAGCGCTGCACCCGGGGCAATCCACCCCTCTCCCCCGCTCCCTCCTCCTTGTGACGCCACTGGTTGCGCCTCCTCTCAAAAGTTCGTCACGAGAACAGGTATACGTCCTGCTTGGAGATCCGTTACGCCTCGTGCGACTCCAATTCCGTTTTCAATGGGCAGTTGGACGCTGCCTTCCAGGAGAGCTTCACTGCACATAGCTGCGTCGGTTATGACGGTTACGAAAACACTCGACCGCGGCGGCAGGTTGACATGGTCGGCAATAACTCGGATCCCAGTTGACGTCATGTTGGGTCCCCACCGGCGGCAGAACAGGGTTTTGCAGCGGCAAATGGTTTGCCCCGGGGTCGATGACAGCGCCGTATTTGCCGAGAAACTTCATTCCGAGCTTAACGTCCCTCGCACAGTCTTGCAGAACGACGAAATTCATAGGGCGCGTGTCACTATGGATGTCGACGCGAGCAGTGCATCTTCCGACTGGTGTAATGAGCTGCTCTCCGGCGGTTTGTATTTCAGGTCCATCGGCGTCGTCACTTTCCGCAGGCGTCGAGAGAGCCTCCCACTCAAGATTGAGTAGTCTGCCCCGGTATCCACGAGTGCTGACGCGTCGTGGTCTTCGATATCAAAATTTAGGTTGTTGCGCACCGTTGCAAGAACGTCGCTGCGATGCGTGGCGTAGGGAGAGTGGGGGCGCTCCGGTGTTCTTATAGCTGTTTACTTCGGTCATGTTCGGCAACGCCACCTCCAGGCGGTGCCGCACTTAGTTTTCTGGACGAGATAGAGGGGACAGGCTGTCAAGGCGCGACTGACGAAAAGGCGATGCGGAACGTCGGTGGGACGGAAGACGGGAACCTTGTGGTGCTCTCGGCGCTGGTGACGAAGGTATTCCTTGATGTCGCGAGGGTGTTCACAGTACCTTGGCCGGCGGTCGTTTAGTGCAAACCCTCGTAGGCCCAGTTGATGATACGGGCACCTCCAGTAGACCTAGGTGTTGTGTCTGGTCGTGTCCTACTGTGTTTATCTTTCACCTCTTCTTCTTTGTGTTGTCCGATCTATTGCGTGATTCTCCGATAAATCTTCTTTCTTTTTTCCTTCTGTGCTCTGCTCGAATAAATCAGTTACTCACGAGACTCTGCCCGCGATGGTCGTGCTCTGATAGCGGTCCACGAACCACTCAAACTACATTATTTGGAGACGAGGACGAGGACAATAAGTTGAACACTTTAATCGCACTTTTAAGTTGTTTGTACAGAGCACTTCCCTAGAGAAGCGACCGATCCACACTGCCGTCTTGGATTACTTGCACGTGTATCGCTGTACGCCTGATGCCACGACTGGATAGTCTGCTGCACTCCTGCTGCATGGACGCAAGCCACGCAACCGGCTCCACATCACCGGCCTGTTCCTGCTTTGCTTTGAAACGTATTTATTAAAATCCACTGGAAGAGTTACAACACTCGCGGTGTCGAGTCCAGAGAAGGCAAGAGAGCAGCAAGCGACATACGGACCAAGAGGGGCGAAAATCCCAAAGTTTCAGGTCGGCAGATGGGTGTGTGTGAGAAAAGCAGGGAAGATAAGAAAGGGAGAAGAAGCTTTTGGACCTCCACTGCGAATTGTTGAGCGCATGGGTGGATGGACCTACAAGTTTCATGATAGAGGCATCTGGAACTCCTTCAAGCTTACGGTGGTGACTCCACCTAAGCAACGCATCGGCAACAACTTGCC